TTATCCAGAACCAGTAACATATTCTATTTTAGCAGAATCAGTACCATAGAAACATGAAAAAAATCAAATCTATAAAAGTAAAAAATGGTAAAATGTTGAATAGATATATTATATATGTACTTAATCGTATAGAATTTACATTGTGCACAACAATACATTCAAAAATGGTTCAATTACATTCTAAAATGCACTAGGCAAATTGTCACCGCTCAAATCTAAAACTGGTTCTTTCTTCGACTTCTCCCTATTTGATTCTCTCTCAAGCTCCGTCAATTTGGTGAACTCTGACATCCTTTTCAAAAAGTGATTCGGCCAAGTTTCTGCCTCTTTTGCGGAATATGTCGTCCACTCCACTGATGTAGTCGGAATAGGACACCCCGGTTTCAAATAAACCTGAACAAATTGGAGTGATCTAGGATACACAATACAAATGATGTGGCCAAATGGGTCTTGAGGTGGGTGACTCCGAAGTGGGAAAAATGTCTCCAAAAAACTATATCTCATCAGACCGATACACGCCTTGTCATATGCACTTGCTATAAGATATCCCATTTCAGAGAAGCATGTCCACTTTGAAATTGGTACGGGACCGAAAAGTTGGTTAGGAGACGAAAAGTTGATTGAGAGTGGTTGAAGTTTTGTGGTAGGTTTTGGTTATGGGGGGAAATGAAGAGAATGAAATAGTGGTAGGGGTGATCATGCATCAAGCTGAAATAACAACAATATTTTCGGATATGTATATCTGAAGATACCACTAAATGTTTGAATCCAACATTTAAATAATAATGTGTAAACATGGGGATTTTCGGAGATGCATTTCTGAAATACCTTGGAAATTGATTTAGAGTGTGTTTGGATATACATCTCCAAACCACTCTTTATGGTGCGTTCATAGTTGCATATCTGAAGAATATTTTGGGGGTTTTCAGAGGTTTACTTCATCCCTATAAAGGTGTATTAAGAAATTCTCTTGTTTTTTTTTTATGGATGGTGGGTTAAGCCCAAGTATTTTCTATTATGCCCCATGTTTTATTTTCTTTGGTATGTTTTATGTTTTCATTTTTTTTAATTTTACAATTTTTTACTTTTTAGTTCTATTTTTATTTTTGTTTAACGGGCCTTAAGCCCAATGCCTTTTCTATTTGCTATCTTTATTCCCATGTTGAAAATGTACTTACATCCCTCAATTGTTGTACTTTGTTTTTATTTGTTTTTCATCTTTAGTTAGTTAGTTATTTGAATTAATTAAATAATTGGAAAAAATCAAAATCAACCTTTTTCTAACTTAACACCCTTGATCAACATCAAGGGCATTTTCTAAACCTAATAAAATCAATCGATTCAGAATTCATTCACCACATGAATAAAATCAACCATTGCTTCATCTATCCAATTACTTCCTTTTTTCAAATAAACATAAACCGAACACACTTGATTAACATCAAGTCGACCCGTTTTCAAAATTACTCAAATAAGTGCAAATCAAATACTTGGTCAACACGCTTTTTTCTCACTTAATCAAAGCGTATTCAAGGTCTTTTTCAAAACAAATTGAATCTAATTCACTACCAATTGAACGAAAAATGACTAGTTAGGCATATGCCCCTATTTTCTCTGAGTACTTGGATACCTGCTGTATAGCTTGTATTTTGAGTACTTGTCTTCCACTAGGGATTTTAATTTGATTCATATCAAATGCTTTTTTGCAATAAAAGGGATGATAAAGTATTAGTTAGGTGTATGCCCCTCTTTTTCGAGTATTTTGATACTTGTTGTATAACTTGCCTTTCAAATACTCGTCTTCAGCTTAAAAGCAAATTCAACCAATCAAACTATCTTTTCACCTTAACGTGACTCCAATTTTTTTTTACAAATGAGTTTGCTTTATCCATTCGACGAGAAACAAACAAATAATTTAGCCTTCAAGCGCGATCAACAAGCATGGTTTAAACGCTCAATGTGACCTAAACGCCACTCTTTAAAATCAACCACCAAATACATGTTTTTCTATTAAGAACTATCTAGCCTTGAGTTTCCAATCGCACCTGGAAATACATATGAGTAAGATTCAACGTCTCTCCAGGAACCCTAATAAAAAACTTACTTTTACTCATTCTTTCTTAATAACATATAATCAACTAGAAAATCAAATAACAAACACTAACACTCTATTCGCCAAACTAACTAAATGGGTATTGTCGAGTACAACGAATGTGAGGGGTGTTAATACTTTTCTCTTTCATAACCGGCTTCTAAATCCTAATTTGGTTGTAACGATTATTTCTTTTCTTTTAAATGTTTTATCGATATTTTCTCTTTCCTTTTGGAATAAATAAAGTTCGGTAGCGACTCTATTGTATTTCGAGCGTTCTTCACGCTTGAGTATTTTTTGCGTCGTGATACAGTTAATGATGAAATAATTTGAGATGTCAGATTTAGGAAATCTATCCTATTTATTAGGTGTGAAGTTCCTAAAGATATGATATTGCACTAGAGATGATATGTTAGAGAAGTCCTCAAGAGGTTTAGAATGGTTGAGTCTAATCTTGCAATCTCTTCTACTGAAGCAAATCTAAAACTTGAAAAGAGTCATGATAAAGATAAGATTGGTGTAGCCTTATTCAAATAAATTGTAAGTTCATTAAGACACATATGTAACAGCAAGCCTGGCATAGGTTTCCCAGTTGGCCTAGTAAGCTGACATATGGATGATCCTAGAATCTGTCACATGAAAGCTATAAGGACGATTCTTATATATCTGAGTGGAATAGTCAATTATGGTATTCTCTTCCCTAGAAGCTCAGATGATAGTGATAAGTGATCACTTGTTATTCAGATTTAGATTGGTGTGGTACAACTAGTTACTTATTCAAGGTTTTTGGTATATGAATCTCATAATGCTCTAGGAAACAACCAGTTGTGGAACTGCCCTCATGCGAGGCATAATATATTGCAAGATCTTATGCAACATGCTAAGCCATTTGGATTGAATTAATGTTGAATGAGTTAAAGGTTCAAGTCAGGAAACCACTTGTCTTGCAATTGGACAACAAATCAGCCATCAACTTGGTAAAGAATCATGTCCTTAAAAGCATAAGCAAACATCTAGAAGCTAGATTTCATGTCTTAAGGGAGCAAGTGAATTAAGGAAAACTAGTGGTAAAGCATTTTTCAAGTGAATCTCAACTTGATGACATTCTAACTAAGAGATTGAAGATTGATAGGTTCTTGTCTCTTAGAAAGAAATTAGAAGTCATTCAGTTTGAATATTTTGTATGTTTTATTGTTTTATAAGTTGGATCAGATGAAGCATGTTGTCAACAAATCCAACGTATTGGTGTTATGACAATTAAAAGGTTATTATAATAGTAATTAGTTAATTACTTATGAGGCAAGTAATCTCATATATATATTCTATAAATACTTGGTTTTGTAATAGTTTCATAAATTTTCTCTTTCGAATATTATAAATATATCAATAACTTATTTAAATTAATAAATAAATATTATCGTTAAAAATTAAACTCTAAAATAATATAAAATATGTTAGAGACAATTAATTCAATTAGTACATATGAGTTTGCTACCCACTCAATCCTAGTTGATCCATTTCATTCCGATCTATTAAAAAAAACATAATCTTAATGATACCGATAGCATAAATATGGTATACAAAAGTTAAAGAAAATATATAATATTTTTAAGAAATGGCGTGGTTTGAATGCTTAGAAGAAGAAAAAACTGATTTAGTAATTAAGGTAGAATAAAGATAATTAAATTTCATCTAAATTGTAACTTGTGTTTAACGAGCTTTTTTTATTATATTTATATTTCAAATATAAATAACCACCCTCCCGGAAAAATCTCAACTAGATAAAAAACATGAAATTTTAATCGAATAATTGAATTTGATTCAAATATCAAACTTATTAATCTAATTTGATTTAATTCAATTTAATTTCAAAATCAAATATATGTAATACTCTATAATCCTTAAATCAATTTAAAAGACCAAATCAATGAATGTTAAATTAAATATATAGTCCTCCCTCCTAAATGTATTTGGAACATAAAAACAAAAGGAAGTCATACAACGCATGAAAAATATGCTATTCTTACGCCCAAAACATATCATATATCGCATTTACGTTTCACGTGAATAGTGTTTTATTAAAATAATAATAATTTTTTTTGTAATTTTTTTGGATTAAAGAACACTGATACAAAAATTATGATTAACTAATTTCATCATTTTATTAACTAACTTTATTTTATTATTAAAATTTATTTTTAATAATTGATAGTTTATTAATTAACTTCAACATTATATTAATTAATATTTTATATTTTATTAACTAACTTTATTTTATTATTATAATTTATTTTTAATATCAATTGGTTTATTAACCAATTTCATTATTTTACTAATGAATATTTTACATTTATTAATTAACTTTTTTTTATTATTAAAAATTATTTTTAATATGTTAACGTTTATTAACCATATTATACATTATATTAATCAACTTTTTAATTAACTAATGTGTCATTATTATTCATATTACTATTCACAAATATTACTACTGTTCATATACTGTTTACTGTTCATATTCATATAACTGCTCATATTATTTATGAACAGTGACTAGGGAGGGTGTAAGCGTAAGAATAGTATATAGCTATTACCACATAGGCTTGTACGATTATGGTTGTGAAAATCAACCGTGACTCATTCATTAATTAATTCATCTAATAAAACAGTCACGGCACAACAAAGATAGTACTATAGCAGCAAAGTAAATAACTTTTATTTTTGGCCAGTCAAAGCATATTAAACATTAAAAACGCTCAAGCCCTTTAATACTTAACTAGAAAACAATACCAAACTGAAAAAGTTAACTAAAACAGAGAGTAAACACTAAAGAAGCATGACAGAAACAGATAGTGAGCACCGAGTACTAAAATAAAATGACACTTAAACGATGTCGTGTTGTGCCTTCTTAGTGAAAGAAAGTGTCGGAAGTAGAACCATTATCAGACATATTCTTCTGCTGCTGTTTGTTGTCTTTTCTCTGAAGATTTTCTGAGCACAGAGATTTATTCCATGGAGTAAACACAGTAACCCCGTGAACAAAGCTTTGTTTGTGCAACCCCTGCAAAGCCTGCTTTCTGTTCAGCTTCTTCAACTCACCAAAAACACCATTGCCGCCGCCGCTGTAGGTGGTGGTTGAATGAGAAGGCATTGATTGAAGAGCAGAGATTTGTGCCTGCAAAAACTGAACATATTTGTAAGCTTCTTCAAAAAGAGTAGCTTGATCCATTTTCTTATCCCATGATATTAGTTTCTGCAAACAACGTGTTTTCTCGCTTAGAGTTTGTCTTCTCTGTCTTGCTAACTTGCTCTGAGGAATCAAAGAAGAAGATTTTCCACGGACAAAGTGAGGTTGTTTCTGTTGTGGTGGAGTTGTTTCCTCGGTGAAAAGGTGGCGGAGGCGTTTTGTGTTAGAGTGTGGAGGGGAAAGGAGTTGAGGGAGACGGTGAAAAGTTTGAAAAGGTGGGTAGGATTGGGGGAGGAAGTTGAAGGGTTGTTGTTGAAGTGGGAGATATTCTTCTAGTGGAGGAAGATTAAGAGGGCATTCGGTTTTGGGGACTTTGAGGAGATTTTTGTTGTCGTTGAGGTATGGAGTTTGGTCGGTGGCAGATTGCGGGAGGTTAGGGAGTTGAGGGTGGTCGATTAAGGTGTGAAAACTGTCGGTAAAGAAGGAAGGATCGAAAGTGAGAAGGGATCGGAGGCTAAAGGTGGAGAACATTTGGTCTACGGCGGAGGAGGAGGTGTCGCCGAAAAAGATGGAGTGTAAATTTGGGTCGATTGATTAAAGTTAGGAATGTGTATGAAAATGGAGTGAAGAGGAGGAGCTTATATAGTAGGAGTGAGAGTGAATACTCGTGTATTCATCATTTCGTTTCAAAATGTTAACCTTGGTGGTTTCATAAAAAGACAAAATGATAAACCGTGAGTTTGTTATGAGAGAGAGGGGAGTGAATGTTGTCCTCCCAAATGTATTCCATCACTATGATTATATTTACGGTCATTGTATTAAGATTGATTTATCCATACTTGTATACCTAAGTAGAATAAGATTGATCAATCCACATTTGTAGCTTAGTATTTTAATTTTGAAACAATTAAAAACTATACTGTGTCGTTCCATCTCAAAACAATTAATGGAATATTTTAATAATTTAGTGTTATATTAGTATTTTAATGATTATATGATCAAATATATTAATTAACTATTTTTTAATTAAATAATTTAAATAATTAAGTGATTAAATAAAGTTAAATATATTAGAGAGTATAATTTATTTATAAATATATTTTTTATTATTTCAAATTAAACTATCTTATCATTTACTAATATTTGAACTCATATCTAATTATTTAATTAATAATTATTAATTAATAAATTTTTTAATTTATTTAATTATTTAAAATAGTTAATATAATAAAATTAATATATTTAGTCATATTAATATAACATAAATTATTAAAATATTAAAATATTCTATTACTACTGATTGCAAAAATATGATTAAAAAATTGATAGTAGAAAATCTGACTATACATACAATAGGAATAAGAAAACGAATGATGGATACTTCTATTTTGTCCATCCACTGTATTAATACGAATTTCCTGTGATATAAAATAAATAAAAAAATAATGGATAGACAATCAATGGTTCAGACATTTTCAGATTTAAAATTTAAATCTGACGTTAATCGTGGTTTCACTTTTAAGGCTCGAATTTGATTGAAAAAAATTTAATTTTCAACAGATTCGATTAAATCGGTACGGATAAGTCGAGTGGGTTAAATCAGTTTATATTTATTGAAATAAATCTGTTAGATCCATGATTTTAGGATTGACAAATTTTTTGCTAAAATATGATTTCTGAAAGATGTTAAATAAGATGACATAACATCTTGATCAAACTGATACAACAGGATATGAGCTTATATTGAAGACCAAATGTTCTGCCAGATGTCGTAACATCCTGAAACAAAATATCAGTACAGATTGTTTAAATCTTGACATATTTAATTTGATTCTGTGATATATCTTTTAGATATATCTCAATGATTTACGCAGATCAAAAGGATTTAATCTGGAACAAAAGAATCAAATCTCCAACGACATTAAAGTTTCTAAATTTGGATGTTGAGACAATTTAGGATACTTGAAGATTTGTTCCAAGTTTTAAGGAGATTTTTCTGCATAATAGGTGCAGCCCTCAACTTGTGGATCAAGGAATATTTGGGTAAAGATTTCGAAGCCCATGGACAGTTGAGGAGTATTTAAAGGCTACCCTAGACCTAATATAATTTAACTTTTCATAATTGTAAAATTAGGAGAAGTCTAAGTCTTAGGTTTTGAAAATCTCTTGTGCTCTTGTGTTTGTAAGTCACCCTTGTATCTTTTGAACAAAGAGTTGTGTATTGTTCTTAGTTGAAGCTTTTAATAAAAACTTAGTGTTGTATCCCAAAATTTGCTCTCCCATATTTCTCAACACATGGCAAGTGAGGTCCCCAAATTGCTCAAGGAAGTTCAAGAGTTGACCAGACAAACTCTCTCCTAAGGCAATCTACCTCAAATTAGGGTTTCTATTTTCATCAAGATGTGTGAACCACAAAGGACTCAAATGCTCACCATTGTCCTAATATGTTCTCAAGATCATCCATGTCAAGTTTCAAGCCTTGCAGAGGAAGTTTGCTCAGTCAATTGCTCAACTGCCTGAAAATCAACTGTGCTAGGTCAAAAGTCAACTGTGGTCCATATACAGTCAAACCTCAAGATTTTTGGTCAACATCCTCATTTTTAAGCATTATCCATCATTTGATCAAGGGTTGATCATGATTCCTCAAGGATTTCTCACAATTCATCAAAATCCAAAAGTTGCTAAATTAGGGTTTTGTAGGAAAAGTCAACTAAACTTTGACGAAGCATAACTTTCTCATACTTCATCATAAATGACCCATCTAAATCTCATTTTGAATAGGATGCAATTCCCTATAATTCATCTTCATCTCCCAAGTTCAGAATATGCACTCACAAAAAGATATGAATTTTGACATTACAGGTCATTTTGAAAAGTCAACAAAAACACCTTTTGGGTCAAAGCTTCATACATGAACACGAAAGAATCAATTGAGATGAGACCAAAAGGGTTGTTTAGAGGACATCCTAAGATTTCTAAAAGGTCAAAGAACACCTCTCTACGGTCAAAATTGAGAGAGTTATGCATTGACCAAGTTAACCATTTTTGCAAAATTGCCAAAAGTCAAATGTGCTCAAATTTGCATTTTTTGCTAAATGGGCCCAACTTTTTATGCTTGCACCTCACTTATAACATGGTCCACGACCCAAATACTCACTCACATGTTATTTGCTTCATTATTTATTTTATTTTGATTTTTTATTTATTAAAAATTGAATTAAAACAAATAATTGGTAAATAATAGCAAATATTTGTTTTGATTGGATTTTTTTGACAGAATCACAAGCTCATTATGTTGGAAGATCAAAATCAAATCATATCAATGGCAATTGGAACAAAAAGAGCATGATTAGGCCAAAATTGGAAGGATATCATATACATTGAAAACCAAATCAAATCTTCAAGATTTGTAAAGAGACTAGTGGTTTTTACAACCCTAATTCACTCTAGTACATATAGAGAACGCAGCCAAGGCAAGGAAAAGGGGTGACAGTCGTGGAAAAACTAGAACCAAACTTCAAAATTTCAAAGAAAAGTGGTGATTCAATTTCCATCCTAGAGGCCAATCCAAGCCATTCTAACATTACCAACAGATTGTTGGACATCCCAGGAACGTATCCCAATCAATTGCAAGCATTCTCACATCCAGAATCGTAAGTTATAGGTACCACGGTTTGCCTCTAAACTCGATTTCGATTTCATTTATTTGCTCATCATAAGTATATTTGAATTATATATTCTTGTTCATCGTTGATTTTGCAAGCTATTGGTATCATTTAATTGCGTTTTCAGTACAGGAATCATAATGTGCCATTGTTAGGGTTTCTTGGCTCGTTTTAAGGTTTTTCAATATAGGCAAAATCAGGCTTGGATTCTGGTACCATGATACTCGTGAGGATGAGACGAGTTGATTGGTACCCTCACTTGTCATTTATCTTGCTTGTATACAATTTTTGAGATGCAAAGTTCTGTACCTACAGCAAGGTGTCTGTAGGTAAAAGTATCCTAGGGTAAAACGACGGAGAGAGGAAGAAGAAGCTTGCATGGCACAGCATCATTGGCTCATTCAAACTGACGCGCGTTTTTCTTTTTGTTTTGACCACTAATGCATGTTTTCTTATATTATTCTTTGTTCTCATTATTATATATAAATAAACAAAGCAGCTCAGCTGGCAGCGTGGTACTAGAAACGTGCATAAGGACCTGGGTTCAATCCCCAGGTTCCAGCCTTTGTTCATATTATTTTGTTTCATGAGATCGGGTACACTGCAACCTCAAGCGTCCACCATATGCCATCCAGATCCAACCACCAAACGCATGTTCAACCAAGATCCAGCGTGCCATCATTGAAGGACCACCATACGCCCCAGGTCAATGTATGCACTAGATTAGGCGAAGTCAATAGGGCTTGGATTGTTGGGCCCAAAATTTCAACAACATACCCCCAGAATTGCTAAATGATATCAGGCTCATCTCTAACCTTTTTTATTATTTCTTTTCTTTAATTCTTTTAATTTTTCTTTTAATCATTTTAATTAACAAATTAATTATTTTTCATAAAAAATCACGAAATCAAGAAATCAAAAAAATTAGAATTAGACTTTTTTTTATCAAAATTAATTTTGTTAATTTAATTTAATTTAGTTTAACTTAGGGCAATTTTAACTTGTTTTTTTTTACAAATAAAATCAAATAGAAATTAGGTTAAATTCTTGATTTATTTCTTTTATTTTATCTCAAATAAATAAAAACACAAAAACAGGTTTTTTAGAATAAATTAATTTATTTTTCTTAATTTAAAATTAATTAGAACTTAGGATTTTCTTTTTAATTTAATTAGTTCATTATTTTCTTAAATAACAAGACATGACAAAAAAACAAACAAAACTTTTTTTAATCAATCGTCAATAGGTTTAGTCAAGGGTCAAAACCCTAGTCGTCTCCTATTTAATTCGCCGTGCGCCTATTATTTATTTTGGCCAATATTTTTGTAACTGCTCACTGGTTTGTAATACTTAATTTAGGGCTTTTACTTATCGCTTTTTCTCCGGGTTTTTGGCTATGTAATTAATCCCCCACCCCGAAGCCTTGTAATAGCGTAGATTTATTCTCTCGCATTTTTTTATTCCTGCAAATATTTAAACTGTTTAGATGTATACTAATAAGATTGTATGGCAAGAATGTCTGAAAAAATTAAAACGGTAGATCACCTAATGTGCAAAGATTAAATAACTGAAACAAATCACTCGCACATATCACTCTTAGGGTATACTCTCACTTTGGTTGCCTCCGGTAAACGATCATTAAGCATAGGGTGTCTTAGTGGTTGCCCTCCTGTCTAAAAAGATCAAACGTCCCATTCGAATGTTGCCTCGGAAATGTTGCCTCGGAAATGCTGCCTCGGAAATGTTGCCTCGAATAAGATCTTAAGACTCTAGGGTTATTACTAAGATATCCTAACATTGCTTTAGTGATCGTACGTCCCTTTCGAATTGACCCTTACCAACTCCAACAATGGTGCTACCTATTTC